TGATAGGAATTTACAAATGCACCGCGTTTGCCGCAATGCGTCACATTGGTCACAGGGCGTCATTTTTGCCGCAAATCGCACAGTTTTGTCAAATATGGTCTGATAAAGGTGCAATTTGGTGCAAAGATGCATGCTCAATCACCGGGTGAAAATGCGCCGCGTTTGCCGCAATGCGCCACATTTGTCACAATGCGCCATTTCTGACAAATACGATTAAGGGTATTGGAATGGCACGAATAGGGGCAGGGTCAGAACTTTTAAAGTCTGATTTTTTTAAAAATATTTATTGGATACAATTATTATGTGACCTGACATGACCCAGTGGTAGGTAGTGGTAGTGGTAGGGGTAGGGGTAGTGGTAGGAGGTAGGAGTAGGGGTAGGGGTAGTGGTAGGGGTAGTAGTAGGGGTAGGGGTAGTAGTAGGGGTAGTGGTAGGGGTAGGAGTATGGGTAGTAGTAGTGGTAGGGGTAGGGGTAGTGGTAGGAGGTAGGGGTAGGGGTAGGGGTATTGGTAGGAGTAGTGGTAGGGGTAGGTGTAGGTGTAGGGGTAGGGGTAGTGGTAGTGGTAGGGGTAGTAGTAGGGGTAGGGGTAGTGATAGGGGTAGTAGTAGGGGTAGTAGTAGTGGTAGGGGTAGGGGAAGGGGTAGTGGTATGGGTAGGGGTAGTGGTAGGGGTAGGGGTAGTGGTAGGGGTAGTAGTAGGGGTAGTAGTAGGGGTAGTGGTAGGGGTAGGGGTAGGGGTAGTGGTAGGGGCAGGGGTAGTGGTGGAGGCAAAAGTAGAAGTGTGGCCCGGGCTGATCCCAGCGGACGAGAGGTGACCTATGTGACCTGGCCTGACCCAAAGCGACCGGGGCTGACCCCTTTGACCCGTCATGACCCCGTTTCACCCAAATTTCATCCAACAACGCCCTCAGAATAGTTCTTTTTTAAATTCTCTTCACATTTCCGTCCATATCTATGCTTCTAGACGACACATCGATTTGAAACGAACACCATTCGAAAGCAAATTGGCTGGTGCCGCAATTTTTTGCTACCACGCAGCAAAGCAAGTGGCGCAGCCGCTTGTCTATATTACTATTTGAGGAAGGCGTAGTTTCTGTCTATTACGAAGGTCGCGACATGGTGCTACGTAGCGCGGGTTACAGGTCACACCGTTGCACCTACCGCGCTGAAATTTGCGCAAGTTATAGAACAAGGATGGACAACGTGCCTTTGAGCGGTCTCGGCTCGATCGGATCGATAGCGAGCGCGTGGCGCGTGCCCAAAAAGTGCAAATTCGCGTCATAGACTTTACATGTATAAATCGGCTGGCAAAAACGGGCGAAAATGGCTAAATTTGCCCGACACGGGTCCGTTCCCCGTGCAATATCTCGGTAGCCGTGCGCCCGATCGGCACGGGGAAAACAGCATCGTGTAGAGAATCGAACGGGCAATCGAATAGTGTGCGGTGCAGGGGTGGCACGCGCCACGTGCAAGTGTGAGGGCAATTTCATTTCAAAAAGTGCCATTTTAGACGTATTTTGGATTTTATTTTATTTTCCCGTGACCATCAGACTGAGAGAGTTGAAACAACGTCAATTGCCAAGAGAAATGTACCGCCTCTCATGGAAAAATTGTGGACAGCTAATTGATCAAAAACAATGTGGAAAAATCGCTGAATTAAAATGGTATTTGTCCACAATGTGCCACTAAAAAGATACACGGGATTTGCTGCTTAACCTGATACGCTTGACAATTGAAAATGCTATCATTAGAAAGAGCATTCAATTCTCTCCAAGATCCAATCATCACGTTTGCATGACAAGCAACAGTATTCTTAAAAATATAAATGTTTTAAACCTCTGCAAAACGATTTTTAGCGAAAATTATCTACGCCTTTCATTTGTCTTAAAACTACGCACCTCAATTATAAAGCACATTTGACAGATTCTGAAGTGGAAAGCATGCTTATCAGACACGGGCACCTCGATGCGGTGGATATTTTTTCCACAAACCAAAACGTTTAGCCGTCAAAAAGCAATCGACCGAAATGGATAGATAACCCAACCGACACAAGAACAACCGAACACCCGCCGATCGAAAATATCCCTTTTCGCGTTGCGGAGCACGCGGGCCACCCTAGTTAAAGCTAAAAGCAAAACTCCTAAGCTGTTTTACTGCAAGGTAGAGCAAGGGTGAAATTGACAGCACGAAAGCAAACGTCATTCGACTTTTTTACTACGGCACGTGCTTTTATGAAACACAACCCAGGATCTTCCTACTGGTCACCAGTAAAACTGCGCTATAGTAACCTAGTAAATTTGCAACTCCAGGTAAAAGTAATTTTTGCTTTATGAAACAAAATTTTACTGGTCAACAGTAAAATCGTGCTTTTTACTATTACTTTTTACTAGACAAAGCTTTATGAGAAAGGCTACAGATCGAATTTGGACTCCCTCAAGAATCGGAAAAGAAATACTCACTTCAAAATAAGGTTGTTTTCAGTTGTTGTAGCGTGTTGTCACTACTTGTGAGTTTGCAGATATTTGCATATATGCATATTGTGCAGTGCTTTATTTTGGTCACGATAAATAATCATACAAATGTGTCACAGAATTCACACAATTAATGGCAATGACGATCCTCAATTCATGTATAAAGTCTCTTCCATTTGCAATGTTTCTCAACGGTGCAAATATCGGTTACCACTTCTTATGTCGAAAGTATACGTACTTTCGCGCAGTCTTACATCGCTTTTTCATGTAGCTGCTCTATAATGATACGCCGATATTGGCTTAGGTAACACCCCCATCGCTTTCTAATGCCGTTTCTGTCGCCCATTACTATTGATAGGCGCTTTCTGTCCTCTCCATAACTCTTCTTGTCTCTAGTTACCATTCATTTGCCTAATGTAGGTGCTATAGCGCTTCCCTGCACAGAACTTAAAGATCAATAACCGGCCTCACTATCTTTTCTGGGAACGATTGTCGGTCTCTAGAGAGCTGCATTGCCTTTGTTTGGAGATTATTGCAGAACCTTTGTAGCGCTATAGGCATTTAACCCGCGCCCTGCTGGGGGGGGGGGTGTTTGAACACCCCCCTTGTGGTTTTTCGCGAATATCTCAAAAACGGCGGCGCGGAGCGCCGCCGTTTTTGGTACACCTTATCATACATCAATTCTACACATGTTGTGAAAATTTCAGACCAAGGTAATTCAAGGTCAGGTCACCAGGTCACTTGAAGTGACCTCACCTCATAAAAACTTTCAATGTCTGTCATAGCTACACCGAGTGACCGATCGCTTTGAAACTTTCAGCGATTGCTAAGAGCAATAGCATGTACAAAATGTATATCTCAGAATTTTGATATCGATGACCTAAGGTCAGGTCAATTTTGCGACCTCCCCATTATAAGTCTATGGGAGAAAATTGAAATGCGCCTCTTTTGGATGAAAGACATTATACACACTCCCAAACACCGAATTACAAGTGGTTTAGACACACTGAACTTGAAAATGGTGTCCGTGACCCTTGTTTATGCCCTGAGGTCATCTTAGGTCACGAATGGTATCTAACAGTTTTTCGCAAATAACTTTTGATAGAGGCATGCTAGAGCGATGAAAACGCCTTAGATGTGTTCAGCTCGACCATACGGATCGACTGATATGCAACATGACTCTTTCCGGTCAGGTCATGACCTTGACCTGAGGTCAAATTTTCAAGTTGACCTTTCAAGGTCAAGTTATAGTTCATTCGATGCGTCTTGACGAGAGGAACACGATGCCGGTAAAAGTAAGCTCGTACAAGGCTTGGGTCAAAAGTTATTGCAGAAAAACTGTTTTCGAAAATATCGGCTATTTTTGCAGTTTTTGCCCCCTGCAGGCAAAACCGTTGACCTTAGGTCAAATCTGAGAGAATTACTCAGAAAGGGCGTTAATAGGGCTATCGAATGCGCTTTTCCGCGGCGCTGTAGCTCTATTGGTTCCCGAGTTATGCGTTGGCTTCTTGGAAATTTTCGACATTCGACCTGGAAATCGGCGAAATTTTGCCTTCAATGACCTCTGGTGACCTGACCTTTGACCTGACCAAAAAATTGACCGAAGTGATTTCGTCATTATTTTTTACGCTCTTTCGAACGCCGCCTTCCGCGTATCGCTACGTGGCCCAGGAGCCGAGTTACAAGGGGGGGTGTTCAAACACCCCCCCCCAGCAGGGCGTGGAAATCCAGGACCCCCAGCAGGGCGCGGGTTAATGTGGCTTGCTAGGTATCATTGATAAGGCTCGTGCTGGGGCAGCGTTGCGTCATTGAATTGTTTTTTTTTTACACTGACACTGACACACCGAAACTGTTACTGACACTGACACTGACACTGACACACTGACACTGACATAGGTACACTGGCACACTGACACTGACACACTGACACTGACTCGCTGACACGGACTCACTGACACTGAATCACTGACACTGACAGTGACTCACTGACACTGACACACTGACACTGACACATTGACACTGACTCACTGACACTGACTCACTGACACTGACACGCTGACACTGAAACACTGGCACTGACTCATTATCACTGACTGACACTGACTGACTGACACTGACTCACTGACACACTGACACACTGACACTGCTACTGACACTGTCACTCACTGTCACTGACACTGACTCACTGACACTGACTCACTGACACTGATACACTGACACTGACACTGACACACTGACACTGACTCACTGATACTGACACACTGACACTGACACACTGACACTGACTCACTGAAACTGACACACTAGCACTGACACTGACTCACTGACACTGACTCGTTGACACTGAATCGCTGACACTGACTCACTGACACGGACTCACTGACACTCAATTTGACGAAGACACCTGACACACTGACACACTGATAGTGACACTGACTGACACTGACTGACACTGACTGGCACTGACTGTCTGACACTGACACACTGACACTGCTACTGACACTGACACCATCATTCTCCCTCCTCAGGAACCACCAGCCGGGCCCTGCCACCCGCGAGGCCGCCGTCGTAGACGCCCTAACTGCCGGAGCGATAGCCTACTCGCTGACTCGGAACTGCTCCAGTGGCCAGATCGCTGGCTGTACCTGTCAGACCAGACCGACCAGGAGGGGTGAGTAGCCTCTGATCGGGGGACACGAAACTGCTTCAGTGGCCAGATCGCCGGCTGTACCTGTCAGACCAGACCGACCAGGAGGGGTGAGTAGCCTCTGATCGGGGGGCTCGAAACTGCTCCACTGGCCAGATCGCCGGCTGTACCTGTCAGACCAGACCGACCAGGAGGGGTGAGTAGCCTCTGATCGGGGGACACGAAACTGCTTCAGTGGCCAGATCGCCGGCTGTACCTGTCAGACCAGACCGACCAGGAGGGGTGAGTAGCCTCTGATCGGGGGGCTCGAAACTGCTCCACTGGCCAGATCGCCGGCTGTACCTGTCAGACCAGACCGACCAGGAGGGGTGAGTAGCCTCTGATCGGGGGACACGAAACTGCTCCACTGGCCAGATCGCCGGCTGTACCTGTCAGACCAGACCGACCAGGAGGGGTGAGTAGCCTCTGATCGGGGGACACGAAACTGCTTCAGTGGCCAGATCGCCGGCTGTACCTGTCAGACCAGACCGACCAGGAGGGGTGAGTAGCCTCTGATCGGGGGGCTCGAAACTGCTCCACTGGCCAGATCGCCGGCTGTACCTGTCAGACCAGACCGACCAGGAGGGGTGAGTAGCCTCTGATCGGGGGACACGAAACTGCTTCAGTGGCCAGATCGCCGGCTGTACCTGTCAGACCAGACCGACCAGGAGGGGTGAGTAGCCTCTGATCGGGGGACACGAAACTGCTTCAGTGGCCAGATCGCCGGCTGTACCTGTCAGACCAGACCGACCAGGAGGGGTGAGTAGCCTCTGATCGGGGGACACGAAACTGCTTCAGTGGCCAGATCGCCGGCTGTACCTGTCAGACCAGACCGACCAGGAGGGGTGAGTAGCCTCTGATCGGGGGGCTCGAAACTGCTCCACTGGCCAGATCGCCGGCTGTACCTGTCAGACCAGACCGACCAGGAGGGGTGAGTAGCCTCTGATCGGGGGGCTCGAAACTGCTCCACTGGCCAGATCGCCGGCTGTACCTGTCAGACCAGACCGACCAGGAGGGGTGAGTAGCCTCTGATCGGGGGACATGGAACTGCTCCAGTGGCCAGATCGCCGGCTGTACCTGTCAGACCAGACCGACCAGGAGGGGTGAGTAGCCTCTGATCGGGGGACACGAAACTGCTTCAGTGGCCAGATCGCCGGCTGTACCTGTCAGACCAGACCGACCAGGAGGGGTGAGTAGCCTCTGATCGGGGGGCTCGAAACTGCTCCACTGGCCAGATCGCCGGCTGTACCTGTCAGAGCAGACCGACCAGGAGGGATGAGTAGATTTCAATCGTGAATCGGATACCAACTTTTTGGTATATCGATACCAAACCGATACCAACTTGGTATTTGGTATTTCAAGGCATTTGGTATTTTGGTATTTTGTTGGTATTATGAATCCTCACTAATGTAAAAGAGGCTGAGAATTTGGTCAAAAGTTGGCATTTTCCTCATAGTCCCGAGTCGGCTCGGTTTCGGTATTTTTCAATGGATATTGTTGGTATTTGGTTTGGTATCGGTATCACGATTTGTCGTAATTGATATCACTAGTGAGTGAGTAGCCTGTGATCGGGCGAATCGTGCAGGGATGTGATATTATGACGATTTCTGTACTCCGACTTCGGTAGGAGGCAGGAGCACGACTTTTGAGGGAGATGGGAGACAGTGGGTCTATCTTCAGGACTAGAAGGGGGAAATACGGGAGGGGTTGGGTTGCAGCTTGACGAGGTTTAACCCTCGCCGGCACAGGCCATTTTGAGTCCTTCGACGGCACAAGGGGGGGGGGGGTTGGTACGACCCCCCCTCGCGTTTGGCCCCTGATCGAGCTAGAGCTTCGCGGAAAAAAAAACGAGCGTGTTGCCCGTCACGAGAGGAAGCCGATGATACCAAATTTTAAGGTCCTAGGTCATCGGGTGACCTTCCAGGTCAGGTCAATGACCCGAAAACCGGGAAAATTGGGACCTGTTAGAAAGTCGTAAAGTGTGGCTGCTAAGTGGTTTCCCGGGGTGCTGATCACGAATATCGTGTTAGTTTTGATCAGAGATGATGTCTTTAAGCATTTAGACCAGGTCGGGTCAGGTCAGGTCAACCGGTAGGGGTTGTGACGGGTATTCGTAATACGAGTCAACCGCCTCGGACAGCTTCGTAACATGTTACGAAGGCACCAAAACTACTTCGTAAATGTTCAAATGGTTGCTAAATTCGAATTCAGCTCCAAAAACTAGCCTAGAAACATGTAAAACTCGAAAAAGTGAACCGAGGTCACCCGAGGTCACCAAAGGTCAATGACCTGAACTGACCTTCAGGTGACCTTGACACCCAACCTAATGCATGGGAGCAACATCAAATCACATGTTTGAACGTTTGAAACCACGAAAAGCTTGCAAACGCGCGGCTAATGCGAGCCGACATGCGCCGAACCGCGATTTCGGCCAAACATGGTCACAGAAAAGAGGTCACAGGTCAAAGGTCATTGGGGTCAGGGTCATGAAATTTAAAGGGTAGGTGTAAAATTGATCAATGCGAGGGTACTGAAAGTTTCGTCGCAATCGGCCGCTTTTTACGCGAGTTATTCGCGAAAAACCTTAGGGGGGGTTGCATCAACCCCCCCCCCCCCTGTGCCGGCGAGGGTTAAGGATAGCCGAAGGCTATGATTTTATTCAATTATTTGATCCACAACCACATAAACTGTATTTGCATGAAAAAAATGACGAAATGTACATGCACTTTGTAATGAGTCGTAAAACACCGTGCCAAGCCTGGCTTTAGTCCATGCGTAAAAATCGAGTGGTGTTTATTAGCTTGTGTGGGTTGCGTCGCCACGGCTCAAAGGTCAATTTATGCGTCTCGTAGTTCATTTAGTAGTTTATTGGAGTCCCCACAGTGGTGAGAGCCGGGGTTCGAGTCGATCCGCGACGATCGATGTAGGAGACTCTTGACGGGGATGGTCTCCAATTGTGCAGGAAGCATGGGAGCAGCCGAGACCAGTTGAATCAATCGATACGGTTGGGAAGGACCGTGGTCAGCAGTGTTAGTGGCGGATCCATGGGGGGGGGGGCAAAATGGGCATTTGCCCCTCCCAAACGGCATAATTTTAACCCGGCGGCCGCTGGGCCTCCGCGCCACCCGCCGGCCGCTGGGGGGGGGGGCATATAGTTGCCCCCCCCCTTTACTTCTGCGACGATATCGTCGCAACGCGAAGAGATAGAAAAGCGAAACTTTGCACACATCTTCCTGAATACCTAGCCGAGGTTGTGTCCAAATTTGGTGTCGATCCCATTTGAAGTGACGTCACAGTGACGTCATAAGTGAAATTATAGATTTGCGACTCTCATATTCCTCACGATACATCAGATATATGGGACCGAACATAAAGGGTCAATTATTGGTCAGAAACTAGATGGAAGTGTAGTTAGATGTTTTAGGATGACAGCAGGTGCTGTCTAGTTCATTTACAGTTGAGTTTCATGCTCAGCGTCATCAGAAACGGTCCATATCGGAAAACGGCAAAACTTTATGACGTCACTGTGACGTCATCTTAGGTGCTACAACCACCAAACTTTCCTCAAACATTGCCTAGGTATTCATTTGAAGCTATGCCAAGTTTCACGTTCGTAGCTCCTCAGGTTTCGGAGATATTTCACAAAACGTAAAGGGGGGCAACTTTATGCCCCCCCAGCGGCTCGTGGGTTAACCCGCGCCGGGGCGGGGGTGTTTGAACACCCCCTTGCGGTTTTTCGCAGATATCTCAAAAACGGCGGCGCGGAGCGCCGCCGTTTTTGGCACACCTGTTTGTGCATCTTTTTCGCACATGTTATGAAAATTTCAGACCCAGGTCACCTTAGGTCAGCTCACCAGGTCACGCCAAGTGACCTCATCTCAGAAAAAATAAGAATGCTCGTCATAGCTACACCGACCGAACGATTGCCTTGAAACTTTCAGCGATTGATTAGAGCAACACTATATATAAAATGTTTATCTCGGAATTTTGATTTCGGTGACCTAAGGTCAGGGCGGCCTCTCCATTATAAGTCAATGGGAGAAAATTGAAAAGCGTCTGTTTTGCACGAACGCTATTCTAGACACTCTCAAACATCGAGATGTAGGTAAAATAGACACACTGAACCAGAAAATGGCAACTGTGACCCCTCGTTATGTCCCCGAGGTCAGCTCAGGTCACGAACAGAATCTAACAGTTTTTCGATGATAACTTCTAATAGAGGCGTGCTAGAGCTCTGAAAACGCCTTAGATGTGTTCGGCTCGACGTTGCAGACCGACTGATATACAACATGACCTTTTCCGGCCAGGTCATGACCTTGACCTGAGGTCAAATTTTCAAGTTGACCTTTCAAGGTCAAATTATAGTTCATTTGACGCGTCTCGACGAGAGGAACACGATGCTGGCAAAAGTAATGTCATAGCTCTTTTGAGTCAAAAGTTATTGCCGAAAAAAAAACGTTTTTCGTAAAAACGGCTATTTTTTTAGTTTTTGCCCTCTGGAGGCTAAACCGTTGACCTGAGGTCAATTCTGAGAACATCACTCAGAAAGGTCTGTAACAGGGCTATCGAATGCGCTTTTTTTGCGGCGCTGTAGCTCTATCGGTTCCCGAGATAGCCGTCGGCAGTTTCCAAAATGTTGAAATAGTCAACATTTTACCTTTGGTGACCTCTGGTGACCTGACCTTTGACCTGACCCAAAAAATGACCCAAGTGTTTTCGTCCTTATTTTTGACGTTCTTTCGATTGCCGCTTGCCGCGTGTCGCTACGTGGCCCAGGAGCCGAGTTAGAAGGGGGTGTTCAGACCCCCGCGGCCCGGCGCGGAATCTCAGAGCACCGGCCCGGCGCGGGTTAACATTAGGCCTATGGACGAGGCATGGAAAGAATCGATAAATTGCTATGGTTTGCCTCCCCCCCCCCCCAAAGAAAACTCTGAGCTGGATCCGCCTCTGGGCAGTGTAACCTTTCGCTCGTTTGTGTCTCTCTCATGCAAGAGAAATAGATCCTTTGTCGGCTCACTGTTTTCCCGACCGGTTATGAGATTTCAATGATACGTTTGATTGGATTTGGGGAATAGGTTACTTTTTCGCTTTATCTGAGGCTTTTACATTTAATAATTTTTAGGTGCATCATCTCTCCAATATTGGCACCACTTACCCAGCATAAAACTATCACAGTACCATCACATGCTTGGAGAGCAATGTTTTTCAATATAGTGGCTACAACATGGTAGTTTTCGGGATGGGCCGGCACCGAACCCGAACACTCATTTATCGGACGCTCTAGCTCCGAGGATTGACCTCGTGACGTCAGGCGCGCGCACCGCGGCGGCCGGGGCGGCGCCAGAGGCTCTTTTGCTCACTGGACAGCGTGCGGCACGGTCGTGCTTTCTCATCCCACCCCCACCCCGACTGCCGCCTATGTACTCGCGCTATGCTGCAGATGTTACGTCGCGCCTCGTATACGAAAACGTTTTACCTACCTGTATTCAATAAATACACCAATAGCGGTTCCAAGTGGTTAGGACAATAACATGTTTCAGCGATGTTAGTTACGCTAGATTTCGTACTACGGAGTGATTCATATCGTTCTGTTATTTTGCGGAAGGTATTCGTCCATCGAAGTGTCATATCTTGGGCGTGCCACCTCATAAAGGCTGGCTGTGTGAAATGGTCGCTTATGTTCACCAGACGAATACATTCCCGGAACACGCGCCAGCCTTTTCCTCGGGAGCGAGACGGCGGATAAATACCATTATATGTCAGCTACTCCGTGTTCTCTGCAAAGAAGCTAGCATGCCCATCGATTTTGTAGCAATCACGTTTTTTTTTCTTCTGCGCAGTGACTCCCATCGACATTTATTTTACCGTAGCAGTGAATTATCCCTGGCACAGATGTTTCCTCGCTAATAAGCACTGTTAACGAGAGCTCTCTGAGGTGTAGCTAATATCCTGATCGCAGACGATGTGTGCGCTTATACGTGCTGTTCTCAGCAACATTGTGACCGTAAAAAACAGGCATTCACGCAGTGCCTGAGGGTGTATTTACAGCTATGCTCGGCTGCGCTGCTGTCTCAACTGTCCTCAACCATGTGTACTAGCCAGTAGCCACTTGCCAGTACTTGACGTTCATACCTTTATGTACATGTGTGCTCTCAATTGCATCAACAGAACTGTTTTCTCTTAGTTCCTCCTGTCCTGACCTGCGTTCTCTATTTTTTTTTTTGTCCTGGATTCTGACCTGAAATTCGTCCTCATTTGATTGTCTCCTGTACTCCGCCTCTCGGTCTTTTCTCACACCAATGGGGGGGGGGGAGTACTGGAAGGAACTCCGCCAGGCACCAAACCAGATCACTTCACTTCAGTCTCTTCACATCACGTATCTGACATGCTGTCTCATCTTTCTCATCCCGTCCCACACTGTCTGATTATGTCTCACTTTGTGTCACACTGTCTCACACCATTGCCCTGTCTTTAGATATCTCTCACATGGTTCACACTGTCTCACACTGTCCCACACTGTCCCGTCCCACACTGTCCCACAATGTCTCACACTGTCTCATCCCGTCTCGCACTGCCCAACACTATCTCTCACAGTGTCCCACACTGTCTCACGCTGTCTCACACTGTCTTCACACACTCTCTCTCACATTTCTTACATTGTCTAACACTATCTCACACTGTCTTCACACACTCTCTCACACTCTCACATATTCTCATTTTGTCTCACACTATCTTACACTGTCTTCCCACGCTATCTCACACTCTCTCACACCGTCTCACACCGTCTCACCTTATCTCACCTTTCTCGCCGCAGCTGACGACTGGCAGTGGGGAGGCTGTAGCGACAATGTCCCACACTGCCTTATACTGTCCCACGCTGTCTCACACTGTCTCACACCGTCTCACCTTATCTCACCTTTCTCGCCGCAGCTGACGACTGGCAGTGGGGAGGCTGCAGCGACAATGTGGAGTTTGGAGTGAGAATGTCCCAGCAGTTCCTGGACCATGTGCCGCTGAACATGCCGCTGCACCGGGCTCTGCTGAGACTGCACAACAACCAGGCTGGACGAGAGGTGAGATAACACAACAACTCACAGTACTGAGACTTCACAACAACCAGGCTGGACGAGAGGTGAGATAACACAACAGCACACTGCTGAGACTGCACAACAACCAGACTGGACGAGAGGTGAGATAACACAACAAACACTGTCACACTGCTGAGACTGCACAACAACCAGGCTGGACGAGAGGTGAGATAGCACAACAACAAACAACAATAAACAGAGACTGCACAACAACCAGGCTGGACGAGAGGTGAGATAACACAACAACAGACAACAACAAACAACAACAGAGACTGCACAACAACCAGGCTGGACGAGAGGTGAGATAACACAACACGCTGCTGAGACTGCACAACAACCAGGCTGGACGAGAGGTGAGATAACACAACACGCTGCTGAGACTGCACAACAACCAGGCTGGACGAGAGGTGAGATAACACAACACACTGCTGAGACTGCACAACAACCAGGCTGGACGAGAGGTGAGATAACACAACACGCTGCTGAGACTGCACAACAACCAGGCTGGACGAGAGGTGAGATAACACAACACGCTGCTGAGACTGCAAAACAACCAGGCTGGACGAGAGGTGAGATAACACAACACGCTGCTGAGACTGCACAACAACCAGGCTGGACGAGAGGTGAGATAACACAACACGCTGCTGAGACTGCACAACAACCAGGCTGGACGAGAGGTGAGATAACACAACACGCTGCTGAGACTGCACAACAACCAGGCTGGACGAGAGGTGAGATAACACAACACACTGCTGAGACTGCACAACAACCAGGCTGGACGAGAGGTGAGATTACACAGCAACAGACAACAACAAACAACAGCAGAGGCTGCACAACAATCAGGCTGGACGAGAGGTGAGATAACACGGCAAACACTGTCACACTGCTGAGACTGCACAACAACCAGGCTGGACGAGAGGTGAGATAACACAGCAACAAAACACTGGTGAAACTGCACAACAACCAGGCTGGACGAGAGGTGAGATAACACAACAACTCACAGTACTGAGACTGCACAACAACCAGGCTGGACGAGAGGTGAGATAGAACAACACACTGCTGAGACTGCACAACAACCAGGCTGGACGGGAGGTGAGACACAACAACTCACAGTACTGAGACTGCACAACAACCAGACTGGGAGAGAGAGGTGAGATAGGTAACACCACAGCAACAGTCACTGCTGAGACTGCACAACAACCAGAATAGTGTGCGATGCGTAGCAGAACTGTAGGTTTTGTTCCGATCAATCAAAATGGATTCACAAAAATAATACATCCATTATTTATATTTCTAAGAATATCGTTCTACAGTTGTGAAACATTTATTTGATACTTTAATGCTTAATGCTGTAGACTATTACGCAATGTGTTGGTCCGCTATGAAACTCAATCGCCCGAGCTCATTAAATTAATATTGGTGTCCACAGCATTACGACTATTACGCAATGTTTTGGTCCGCTATGAAACTCAATCACCCGAGCTCATTGAAATAATATGGGTGTCCACATTAACTTTTTTCATTTGAACACCGTGCAGAGGTGAAACTGTATCTGTTCACCGCTCACAGACGCGGATCCTGCTGACGATACCCTCAGGCCACCTGGTTCTACAATGTTGGCCGAACTGCGTATATCGCGAGTAACTTGCCCCTGTGGAACTTGAAACAACCGGATTTGGAAGGTTCTCATCTAATTAAGCTTTTATGAGCACCGTAGTTAGCTAGTGTAAGACATAATTGGTGGTGCATTTCGTTGCGTAGCAGGTTGAATCTTCAACAGGTTTGAATTTCATTCAGCGAGTGGGGTTGTTACACGGAGTTCAGGATTTTGCAGCGTGCCTCCGTTTAATTAAAACTGCCCGCGAGTTTATTACAACGAGCTGCATGTTTACCTAAGGCAAGGTAAACTGGATGTGGCCCGCACAATTGCAGTCGTGTTTACGTTTTTTACGTATTTCTACGTATTTACGTATTATGCTCAGGTATTTCTAGAGCATCTGTAAGTCAACTGCTAAATGTGCATATTTGCCGTTCAAATCTAGCTCATGGTGTTAAGTGTACTCTCTTGTATGCAGTTGGTGCGTCGCTCCACCCGGCGTCTTTGTGTCACGATCTGAACTGACCATTACCTCTCTTACAGTTGGTGCGCCGTTCGACCCGACGCCTATGCAAGTGTCACGGTGTGAACTGACCCTTACCTCTGTCTTACAGTTGGTACGCCGTTCGACGCGCCGTCTCTGCAAGTGTCACGGTCTGATCTGTCCTTTCTCTTACAGTTGGTACGTCGCTCCACCCGCCGTCTCTGCAAGTGTCACGGCGTGAACTGACCTTTACCTCCGTTCTACAGTTGGTACGCCGTTCGACCCGCCGTCTCTGCAAGTGTCACGGTGTGGACTGACCTTTACCTCTGTTATACAGTTGGTACGTCGTTCGACCCGGCGTCTTTGTGTCACGATCTGAACTGACCTTTACCTCCGTTCTACAGTTGGTACACCGTTCGACGCGCCGTTTCTGCAAGTGTCACGGTGTGGACTGACCTTTACCTCTGTTATACAGTTGGTACGTCGTTCGACCCGGCGTCTTTGTATCACGATCTGAACTGTCCTTTACCTCTCTTCTACAGTTGGTACGCCGTTCGACGCGCCGCCTCTGCAAGTGTCACGGTGTGAGCGGCTCCTGCAGCATGGAAACATGCTGGACCCAGATCGCAGACTTCACCATCACAGCCGAACGGGTGCGGAGACGCTACAGGAAGGCTAAACGGTGAGTCCCATGACGCTACAGGAAGGCCAAACGGTGAGAGCCATAACGCTACAGAAAAGCCAAACAATGTGTATAATAGCTGTGACCATGCTGTGACCATCTGAGGCCCGACTCGGTGACAACCCGCTCGTGTCAGTGCTACTGTGTATTAGAAAATAAAAACAGGCATGATGGACTGAAGGTAAACAAAATATAACAAAAATGAGTTAGTGTGTCTGAGACAGGTCGACGCGGGTGTTCCGAATGGCTTGAGCTCGTCACAGTCTAGCAGATCATTCCTGGCACTGTGCCAAACTAGGCATCCTGCAACACAAGAGAACACTATTTCAACCATTCGGCCTATCTGATATCTCTACACGCTATACAAACGGTTAACCATACATTGGCTCTCATGAATACATACATCTGGTCATAATTATTTACAATATTCATCATAATCTCACCACTGGCCCTTCCGCGGCCACGCCTAGGCTCAAAAGAAAGAAAATGCGCAGTTGACGCGTGCCCGTAGCACGAAAATACACTTATTGCGCGCGAGTTTCGTTTACGCCGCGATACAGTGCAACTAAATCATTAGCGCCGCAGGACAGTGCTACTAAATCATTATCACGTGTTACAACAATAGCTCTGCAATGCAGTGATTATCAAGATTTAAAATTGACAGGAATATGCTTATTATGGCTATTGTTGGATTGCTCAGTCTTATGCTCTGCTGTGATCATTTACATAGATAATCTCTGAAACATAACCCTAAACTGGAATCTATTTCTTTCCCAGACTGGCCGTGGATGTAAGCTTTTCATAAACCTATGATTGGCAACATCTAATCTTTGACCTATAACCTCTGATATCTGACCTCTGACCTCTGGTCCGTGACCTATGGTCTCTGACCTCTAACCGTTGACCCCTGACCTCCGATCTCTTACCTTTGAACTGTGACCTCTGACTTCTGACGTCTGACTTCTGACGTCTGACTTCTTGCTTCTGACTTCTTACTTCTGACTTCTGACTTCTGACGTCTGACGTCTGACCTCTAACCCCTAACCCCTAACCTCAGACCTCTAACCTTTGACCTGTGATCTCAGAACTCTAACCTCTGACCTCTGACCTCTGTCCTCTGACCTCTCACCTCTCACCTCTAACCTCTGAGCAGCGACTTGTGATCTCTGACCTTTGACCGATGACCTCTGCCCTCTGACCTCTGCCCTCTAACCCCTAACCTCTGCCCTCTGCCCTCTGCCCTCTGCCCTCTGCCCTCTGACCTCTGACCTCTCCCTCAGGCTCACACTCGGCTCCGACGGTAACGACGTCTCTCCTACTGCCTCGGTCAGCTTTGAGGGTGTGCGGGTCACCGACCTGACGTACATGGACGATTCGCCAGACTTCTGCCGCACAGTGGCACCAAACGGTACGTAACGGCACCAAACGGTACGTAACGACACCAAACGGTACGTAACGGCACCAAACGGTACGTAACGGCACCAAACGGTACCAAACGGCACCAAACGGTACGTAATGGCACCAAACGGTACGTAACGGCCCCAAACGGTACGTAACGGTACCAAACGGTACGTAACGGCCCCAAACGGTACCAAACGGTACGTAACGACGGGCAATGTCAATGGATAGAAATGCAAAATGTGTGGTGTGTCAGTCAGTACTCAGTTCCACACTGAGGGCAATTAGGTGTTCGATGTTTCAAAGCAATGCCATTTTGGTGTTTGGTATTTTAAATTACGTTCAAGTTAGTGTTTGGCCAACACAGTGCGTTCGTCATAGATCGGTTGTGAAGAACCTCGCCTGTATGTACTTTTGCAGAGTTTTACCTGATCCACCGTCCGCCGCACATATACGCTACGATATAATATACCTAACATATTTTGCGACAAAAATAGATCCTCGCTTCGGCAAGTGTTAAACATTCTATTCAATTCTATTTCACGGGTGTGGAACAGTTTCCGCGTAATATCCTGCCCACTCCAACTATTCATTTCCTGGTTGACGCTGTCCCTTTCGAAAGCACTATTAGTCCCAGCTAATTAAATGCATATTCATGGAACACCAGGCTTTTCCTCGGAATTTAATCACATTCAGACCGTGACTGAACAAAATTTTTAAGTTGTCCGATGTAGTGCAATCATGGTTGTTTCGGGCAGCGGAATTGTTGTTAGCGTTCTGCTGCTGCTGAAATTCACCGAAACATTGCATAATGCAGAGTGACACCAGTTGGCAGTATCTGAAACAGGCTTAATTCAATGCCGGCGGCGCTGACATCGGCGCAGAGAGAACAATAATGGCTTTTCAGAGATATATAACTTCTGGCGCAGGGTATAAAAACAATGACTGAAGGATGATTTCTGACAACGGGGAGTATATCCCGCTATCGGCCTTGTTGAGAAAGAATTGTTGCAGTCATTATCAGAACGTCAGTCATTATCAGCAGTTGCAGTCGTTATCAGCTGTCATTATCATCATTGATCAGAACGTTATCCCGCGGAAAATTTGAAAGTGTTCTCAATAGCGGTATACAGGGTGGGGCAGAAAGATTTACCTCTTGATTTTCTTAAATATTTCGGCCCTGAACAAAGATATCAAATTGATTTCTGGCACATATATGCAGTAGCATGTACGGCTCTCCAGTAAAAGTCTTGTTGGTTTTGCTTTTTCGGACATATCTGGTCCTATATAATGTTTAACCCTCGCCCGCACATGCCATTTTCCCATCCTAGAACGCACATGGGGGGGGGGGGGGTGGTTGCCACCCCCCCCGCGCCATTTCGTTCCTGTTGGAGATAGAGCTTAGCAGTAAAGACCAAAAAGATTCTTTGGGAAGAGACGAATCCAATGATACCCAGTTTTACCTTCTCAGGTCAGTCATTGACCTTCCAGGTCAGGTCAAACTAAAAAATGTTGCTGTTTTGGGTCACTGTTGGATATCAAGTACGCTGCTTATCAAATACCGATGACGATGCTGTTTTCTGGTGCCAAGCCAGCTAGAACCTCTTTGTCACACTATCCGACCAGAATTTTGCTGCTGAGGTCATTTCAGGTCAAGTTAGGTCAAGGTCAATTATATGTGTTTGTATGTCTGTGTGTGTCTGTGTGTATACTGATGTGTGCACCGATTGTTTTTGGGTCCATATCACATGAAATCATGATCTGAGAAGCTTTTACCAAAAACGCAGTCAAAAAACTTCACAAAAAGTAAATTTAGCTTGCCTAAAAAGCAATTATCTTAGATGACCTAGGTTGACCTTGACCCTGACCTTGACCCCTGTACATCGTCGAACAACATGTTCCATGATAGGTGGGAGGTAAGACTGGCAAAAAAGGCCGAAATCAGGGTGTCAAAAGCTCACAAGGCCCATGGCAAACGCAAGATGTTGAGAATTGGCCATTTGGGTCATGACATGACCTGAAAAACAAGGTCATATCTCCGAAACCAAAAATCACAGAAACTTGAAACTTTCAGTGGACATCAAGAAAGGATAGACGAGCAGCTATACGAAAAATCAGCCTTCTAGCTATAAAAATGGGGAGTGTAGAGCAGAAAGACTGCCTGGGGGGGGTGGCAACCACCCCCCCCATGTGCGGGCGAGGGTTAAATGCATAAGCATCAACCCGGATTATGTGTATGCACATTTACCACGAGACTGTGAATTTTCATCGTTGTATGCCAAATACTTTCCGAGATATCCACCAAAAACCTCATTTTCTGCCGTTTGGGGTATTCTGGCCGCAATCTTCCTGGGATCGCCTATGACATCCATGGTGCCACCTAGCGAGAGGGACGCGGAAACACAGAATCATGAATGAATCGAGCGCGTAGTAAACGGTGTATGGAAGGGAGACTCGGCAGAGGCTATCCGGGTGGCCGGCGCGCGGCGCGCCCTTAGGCATCGGCCGACCCTTCGGACCGCGTGGGGTCAGAGGTCGCGCTCGGGAAGTCTCGGCTCTGGGTTTTAGCGCTGTGCAGTCAGGAAGGGAGGGGAGGATAGCGCTAGCCCGACTGACTACTGACTAGTATCTCGGCTGATTCGTGTGGGGTGGAACGGATCACAGAACGGGATGGTGGCTAGTGGTGGATGATGGGATGGTGGTTAGGTTAGTGCGTACTGCGTAGAACGTAGCTGAACATGCTTTTTTCATGGCAAACAACATGCAGCATAATGTGCGGGATTATGCCAGAACTCATACAAAAAGGAACTAATATTTCGGCCGAGGGAGTGGATGAGTGCCGTGACAAAGCATGACGATGCTGCCAAAACCGGGATGCTTGTTTGCTCCCATTTTTTTATTATTAAGTTTTAACCCTAACATGCAGTGCTTGATCCGAACTTAGAGGTCCCCGACTGACCTTGGACCTTAAAATCGCACCCGTCCGGTGCGCCACCTTTTCTTCAGGGGCGCTCTTCTTGGTTTTATCTGTTCTTACCAATAACTAAAGCAAATCGAATGTATAATAAAAAAGGCATACCTCAAACACAGTTTAATTCACATCCGCTCGTGTGCATACTTGTTTTTACCTATACCTTCTCGCATCAAAATATATCACTTCAGTGCTTAACCTTCAACGGAATTTTGGGTTTTCTGCATATACCCCGGCCGAGGGGGGGAGGGGGCGATTACGACCCCTCTCCGTCATTTTGCCCCTAATTGAGCTAGCGCCTTGCGGACAAAACTGAGCGCGTGCGTCGTATGAGATGCAGCAACTGGTAACCGAGTTGAATGTCTCAGGTCCACCGATAAACTCTGAGGTCAGTTTAAGTGCTCCAAGTCGCGGGATCGGTTTTTGGTAAACAACTTCACCTTAAGTGGTTACAGAGCCAAGAGTTTTGCATGCTCAAACGCGTCGAATAGTTTACGCTTTGTTTTTGTTGAGGTCAATTTAAGGTGTTTACCTCAGTTCATGTCAGGGCAGAGCCACCCAGGCCACGAGGCTGACTCAAGAAGGTCATATCGCTTCTTCGATGCGGTAGGTCCTTTCAAGTCCACTGGTGGCTTCCCGACTCGCTAGCTCAATTTGATCGGGACTTTTTGGTGAAATCTCCTGTGACCTTAGTGACGTCATAAATGAAGTCGCCTAACTTTAAGAATGGAAAAGTGAATGCTGGGGCTTGCAAAAATTGTATAAAATCGCGAATTCATGCGCTTGAGACAGCTTTAGATGGCTCCCGGCGCCAAAATAACAGTTTTCATATTTCCCAATTGATTAATAATCGTGAGGTTGCGTGACCGACCTGACTTCAGGTGACTCTTAAGAAAAATACGAGATAGCTACATACAAGTTGTGAGGCCTCTGGGAGATAGTACTAGATCATATAAGCTTCATTCCCCGTTGAAAAGTCCCCTGGCACGAAGGGTGCTGCGACGTCGCGACATTTTGGGGCCTTACAGAGGTTCACTTTTGACGCCATTGGTCAACGGCCTGACCTTAACCTTCGCACTTGAAGGAGGGTGTCGAACAGACCTCCTACCCTCAGTTTTTCGCAAATAACTCGCGCAAAAAGCGGCTGATTGCGGCGAAAATTTCAGTACCCTCGAGTTATTCAATATTACGCCTACCCTATAATTTGCATGACTCTGACTCAAAAGACCTTTTGTGACCTGTTTTCCGAGACCATGTTTGGCCGGAATCGCGTTTTGGCGTATTTCGAGTAGAACGCGTTTTATTGTCTTTTTGTGGCTTTAAGCGATCAAACATGTGAAAGGATGTTGATCGCATGGATTCTAGTGGGTATCAAGGTCACGTGAAGATCAGTCAGGTCACTGACCTTTGATGACCTTTGTTCACTCTTTCGAGTTCTACATGTTTCTTGGGTAGATTTTGGAGTTGATTTCGCATTTAGAAACCGTTTGAACATTTAAGAAGTAGTTTTGGTTCACTCGTAACATGTGACCTGACCTGACCTGACCCGACCTGGCCTAAATGCACGAAAACGTCATCTGTGATCAAAACTAACTTGAATTTCGTGATCAGCACCCCGCAAAACCCTATAACAGCTTCACTTTACGAAGCTCTAACAGGTCCCGATTCCCCGACTTTTGAGCAGTAGCGGCGGAACACCTTCAATTAAGCGGGGGGGGGGGGAGGCACTGCCGACTTTTGGTCCCATTCTTTCCATGCAACGCCCATAGGACTAATGTTAAAATGCCAAAATCAAAGGGGGCACGGTGCCCCGGTGCCATCCCCGTTCCGCCGCCAATGCTTTTGAGTTATATTAACCTGTCAACCAATGACCTAGGACCTTAACCCTCGCCGGCAGAGGCCATTTTGCGTCCTTCGACGGCACAGGGGCCTTACAGAGGTTTGGCCCCTGTGCCGCGAGGGGTGGTACGACCCCCCCCCTCGCGTTTGGCCCCTGACCGAGCTAGAGCTTCGCGGAAAAAACGAGCGTGTTGCCCGTC